TGCATGAAATAGTACTAACGAACAAATGTTGAATCAATTACACAATTAAGACAAAGTAATGTGTTTGAAAACTATTGTTTGATTACATCATTATCAAGCYTAGGTGTCCTAGGTGTACAATACGCTAAAGAGCTAGTTATGCATTTTGGCGGCGTTGTATACGCTTCCTTGATTAGAAAACTGAACATGATATCAAAGATGTTTCCTTACTTCCTCGCCGATAATAGTATTACAAAGTAATACCATGTCGCCCTCGGGACTTCCACAAATTTTCCCTCGGTTTCGGGGAAATTTAATCACTAATTTCCCTCGTTCCATGGTATTACTTAATATTAAAGTCAAATGAAGGCAATGATTTTCCATTGTGTTTACCTAAAGAATTATTAATGAATTTGATAAAGCAAATGCAGGGATAGTCTTCTCTCTCAGCTGTTATGTGGCTCGTTACCATGTCTCTACCTACTTAAAAAATACATGTGGGAACAAGCCAGATATCGGCTGTGAGAGGGACCTAATGTAGGAAATGATTTACAACCAGAGATATGAAAGCTTTATTTCATGTCTTACCAATTGTCCATCTTTAAGTGTAAAGTTGTTTGCCCATGTTAGGTCATCAAGATGATCTGGTAAGGCTGCTAGCTGTGAAGCAATCATGGGGAGTGATGAAGAGGCAGATCTGAAACAATAATAAAAAAATAATAATTTCCATAAGTTCAATAGTCTTACTTGAGAATACAGAGTAGGGAGGAACTATTTACTTGAATACTCACCAACAAGGAATTTTTTCAAATTTGCAAAAATAAGAGAGATATTGTATGGTCTTTGAGGATGATGCTTAAGAGCTTCATACATTCTTTGTAATTTTTTCAAGTTTTGAAGGCTTGCAAATCTCTCTTATTATTAAACCTAATATGACCAAACTCAGCAACTATACTAATCTTATTATGCTCATTCATCTGTGTTTTGATTGCTTCAAACTGTATCAAGTTTGATAGGCAACTAGTCACCAACCCCTTTTGAATTTCAGAATGACCAATAGACCTTTTGTCAAATAAAACCAAAGCAGCTAACATGTTTGCTGCAGCTCTCAAATGAACAAGCCAAGTCATATCAAAATCATAACTTTCTCGCCAGCAAAAATTATTTTCCTGACATTGCAAAAACTACAGTCTCCTCATGCAACTTGTCTTTTCTAAAAGCAAAACTATTGGTTTTCTTACGAGTGATATTGAGAGTCCATCATCAAGTATTCCCCAACAAATGGTTGCTGTAGTCTTGCTATTAAATCATCTTTTTTATCAATGACTGAAGACAAATGCAATGAAATCTTCTCCAGTTTATGTGCTCTGGTAGCTGGTCAACAAACAAAATAGCATTAAGCATTTAAAACAGGGTTTGTGTTACAACATTCTAAGACTTTCCAATACTTTTTAAGCACAAAAATGTGACTTTTAATGGCTATTTTTGAATTTTTTTTATTTTGTTATGTTTATGGTGACAATTTTTTGAGTACAGCTATTTACAATCCAAAAGGTTAAATATCAATTTTATCCCATTCAAGGAATTATTTTCAGGAATTTTAGAATTTTACATATTTTCAAGGGCTTTTCAAATGCCATTGAAAACAAGTTTTCCATTCAAAGATTTTTCAAGGATTTCAAGTGTAACAGAAACCCTGTCAAATAATAATAATTCATAATAATAGATAATACTTTGCGTTCATTGGCATTGATAAACATACCTAATATATCTATATTGGTAACATCTTGTGTTTCAGCATGTCGAAGCAGTTTTTGAATCTCTCTGTTAACCTTCATCAAAGAGAATCATTTATCTTTAGCCAGGCAAATGAGTAAGAAATAGTACATTCTTATTTGGTGTTTTTTGCTTGTGTCAGTTGCCCTATCACATAATTAYGTCACATCAAAACATTCTATTGTTTTAACGCTAAGGAGTATGGTTGCCAGAGGGGATCAGAGTGACTGCATTTCAAATAAAATGTAATGAGCTATCATTGATAAATGATGTACATCAAAAYTCGATACACTAAAGTTCTACTTTTGAACACTGAATGTTTATAGGTCCAAAATTTCGAGTCTTTTTAAGCATATATCCACAATGTAAACATACTGTGACATGGGTCCTGTTATACTAAGGGGTTATCCAATCCTTAGATTTTGTATGGAATTTCATCTGCTGGAAAAGGATGTATCTGATGCATAGCACTATGCKATCACCATTCCTTCGTTCAACTGGCCCCTGAGATCAACTTTCTAACTGCTTTCAAACTCAAAAATCACCAGTTGCTAGACCAGGGACCAGTTGTATGAAGGGTGAATAGCTCAAGCTTTCACAAATTGTGTTTTGMTTTGTTTTGTTTTGATTTGATTCAAAGATTGCAGTACAAAGCAACTCCAAGCTGTGATTGCTTGTCATGTATGTATGATGACTGCAGTAAGTTTTATTGTTATAAAATACCTTATCAAGAGCATGGCCTGTCTTTGTAATATCTCTCAACACTGTGATCATTTGAATTGATGGCGAGCYTAGTACTTTCCTCTTTGTTTCTTGTTTTACATTTGAATCCTAAGCAAATTAAGCTTACATGCTTACTTCATGAAATCATACAAACCTGCCTTCGCAACAAAAGAKACATAGATCTTCATTAAAATTGGAAAGAATACCGGATTTCATAAATATAATTTGTCAATCCCTAAAGAATTAAGCTTACCTTTCGTAAATGTCCGGTTTTCTCTGCTAGAGAGATAACATTCTGCAACGATCCGAGCTTGACGAACGAAGAAGAAGGCGACCACGGATTTGAACGCGAAGGACTGTCCGTAGTCTCAAGCAACGATGTCTTTAGCATCTTGATTCAGCGCTTGCTACTTTTAAACCACTTTTAATGCAATCGATGAATGTTAAGAGGCGAAAAAGAGCTTCAAATGTACCATCACGCTCTGTTTGCAAACTGCCTCCTACGTTTAGACTTCCCGCGCGCGACCGTGATTACTGGGTCCTAAGAACAAAATCTTTCTTGGGGGGAGGAGCTATTTTATAGTAGACCTTAGCTAGTGATTACGACTGTTTGAATGAATAATAAGTTCAATAAATTCACAATATAATTTCACATAGAATTAACTCCATAGATTCACTTATTTTATAATTAATATATTATCACTTTTGTCATTAAAATGTGTTTTTTGATGAAGTTGGATTATTATAAAGTAGCCCTCCCCTCCCCTCTTATCAAGAGAAATCTCAATTGGCAACCGCTGTTCGTAGTTAGCGCAGTCACCAAAACAAAATGGCTTACAAGATGGTCGAAAGTAAGGGGTGTCGGAGGTGTTGGCAAAAATGACGTGTTTATTTTATCCTTTTGGATAAGCTCTTTGCATTCAAGGAATTATTGCCTGTCTCTTTTGATTATACTTCGAAGAAGATGAAGATTATAGAAGATTATAACTTGATGCCTAAACTATGAGACATCTACTAGTATCCAGCATTTTCGACTACACTCTTTGGCCGAAGTTGTAAATGGCAAATGACATTGGACGGGCTACTCTACCCGAAGAGTTATGGCTGAACATTTTTAAGTTTTTCCACCCAATTTACGACGATATTTTCACCATCTCTCGAGTTTGCAAGCAATGGAGAGCCATCATCATCAAACAGCCCGACCCGTCTTTGTGGGAGACAATTGAATTAACAAATACGAGAAACTGTTATCTAGATTCGCCTTTTCTTAACCGATTCAACTTTATCTTAAAGAAGTTTGGTCGTTGYRTAAAAGTCCTAAAGCTACGTCGTTGTCACAGCTACTTCACTGATGTGTTACAAACGTACTCAAMATCACTTCGTTCTCTTCAATTGCTTGAAATAACTGGTATGTCGTGGARTAAGAGAATTCTCCAAGAGCTTCCCTGCTCTAAATCTCTAAAGTACATCAAAGTTGAAGCCGCAAATGAAGACCGTTTTGGAAGTTTTAATGAAGAAGATCTTGTCATTCTGGTAGAGAATTTCCCAAACCTTGATGAGATATGTTTACAATATTCTGTAGTAAACAGCCATTTGATAAGTCAAATTCAAGATATTGCGGCCTCAAAGTACAACTGGAGAATAACCGAGTTGCAGATAGAAAGAGCAAAGTTGGAGGCTTTAGACCTTGCTGACATTGTACAGAATCTGTCAGYATTAAGACATTTTTCTTACGGCAATGACCAAACACATGGACTTCCATCRATACAAGAATTATATCTAATGTCAAAGTCAATGAGAGAATTGGATTTGTTCCAAATAGGAGACTTTGCAGAGTTTTGCTTAAATTTGCCACATTTACAAAGACTTACTATAAGCTATGCTACTTCATTAAAAAAGCTCAGTGTCTATGCTCCRTCACTAAGAGTATTGCAGTTGAATCACTGTCCAGAGCTTAGAAAAATAAGCAAGATATCATCCAACTCTCTGAAGGATTTGACAGTCAGGAAATGCTCACAGCTCAGCTGGTCTGAACTGATACGATTCCTTGTACGAAATTCAGATATCAAAATGTTAAAGATAGAAATCGATGTAGTGAATTTACGACTTGATCAAAACTCTAACCCATCCCTTGAAAGGTTAGAAGTCTTAGACAGTGGAAATATCCTGACTTGTCTAGACATTCGTTGCCCAAAACTCAAAGTTTTAACATTCAAGAAATCACTGATGCAGTCTTCCATGTTGAAGATGGTATCTGTCAGAGCAGATGAAATGRATGAGCTGGTAATCAAGGATGTACCACACTTTCGAAAAGCGATTCTGAATRTAAAAACAATCAAAAACYTAGAGTTGGATTTTGACAGGAGGTTTCACCAAGTTAAACCACTTCACTTCACAACAATCARTTGTCAAGAAGGCACTTTCATTCAGAAGCTAGTACTGAAWAAATCCAACCTTCGGTCCATCACAACAAGTCRTTGTAATGTAACAGAGGCTGTTCTTGACTCTTGTAATCTTGACATAAACTTGAACACGGTTCTTGAGCGTTTTTGTGGCATTGAGGCTCTGACTCTTCAGAACTCTTATGGACCTTGCCGTATCATGGTGCAAAATGACACCCTTAAGAGACTGAGAGTGTGTTCTTGCTCTTCTGTCCTWATGGATCATATTGACATCCTATGTCCATATTTGGAAAGGCTTGACATTCATGGATCTATAATCTTACCATCTAAAAAGGAGCTTGCAATAATAGCTAATGAACTGAAGAAAGTTTGYCCACAACTTGTTGATGTGAACTTTTCCCATTAGGATTGGYATGTTTTTAGGATTTGCTGCTTTTTGAGGTCAGTGGATTAGTCAAGTTAACTTAACRGTTCTTTAGGGAAGAATGAATTCTTGGTTTAAAGGATGAATTATTTAGATAACTGATGAAAAAATTATACATAMAATAGGCTGCAATGAAGGCCGCTATAWAGGGAAAGGGGGATCGGSATAGTGTGCAGATGCACTCACCTTCCATAATACACTGGTGGATCTAGGATTTTTCAAAATGGGTTCCAGATTTTCCACTTCTTTGGTTTTAATATATGAACAATGCTGTTCATTTGAATGCAGAATACAAAACTTGTCAAATTCAAGTTAGATAATAGAAATGGGTGCAGCTAACCCTGTTTTCTTTCCCTGGATCCATCATATTAATTGAAATTTGTAACATGTACATAAAAAGAGACAGTTAAACAAAGGGGCATGTAGGGGGAATTGTTTCAAGKTGTTCTGTGACCCCCTTTTCCTTGTCAGACAAAGACTTTAAAATATGAGACTTTATTTTCCAAATCAATAGGGCCACACATTTTTGGATAGTCAAACAGTTTGGAATCCCTGCTGGAATCCCCCTCCCCCTTCCTCCTTATGAAACCCCTGTTTCACCCCTGTCATTTTCCAAATGCAAACTAAAGTGTGCTACTTAATTATTATGCATCGCTTTCAGTCAGATGACCATGGTCCACCAACCAGGAGAAAGATGTGYCATATGACTTCCATATATGGTTGTGCATTTACATAACACTGAAGTACACATACAAGTCTCTTATGTCCCTTTCATGTGAAAGAGAAACTTATAAAATTTTCAAAGACTTAATTAAAATAAAGTACACACTTAAATTTAAGTACACACATTAAGATTTGAACTAGTGCTATGCATTGCCAAACCCTATTGGAAAGTCATCCATATATGGAAGTAGCATGACTCTATACTCCAGTTTCGAATTCAAAGCGAATAACCGCTGTTTTACTTGACAGCAGATTCTATTTACGCAAAGAACTTACCAAAGACAAAAGAAAGCATGAGAAAATGTTGTTAATACAATAGAGCGCTAAGAATCTACATTTTCTCCGAGTTGAGGCTAACCCTGCTCATACCTTAGGTCTTATGGGAATACAGGGATAATCTCAACTCGGGGAAAATGCAAATTTTTAAGTCTATTGTAATAACGACATTTTCTCGTGCTCTCTTTTGTGCTTGTAAGGTCTTTGCGCAAGAGAATCTGTTGTCAAATAAAGCAGCGGTTATTCGCTATGAATTCGAAACTGGAGTATTCCCAACCAGACCACAGTACCATTTCCCCCAAGGAATACTGGAGAAATTAACAGTTCAATGATAAAATCCCAGCCCTGATATAGGAAAAAAGGCAGCTAAACAGAATTTCTTTTTAATTTTTGTTTATAATTTCCTTGCCTCCATGCGGATTGATACTTTTAAAACAGTGTTCGATCCAGGGGGGACAATCAACTCACAGAAACAAATATAATGAAGCAGGTTTAATTTATTTAAAAGATGTAAAATTTAAATCTTGACAAACTATAGACAAAGAGAATAACAAGAAGTTTCTTAATACAAACTATGATGTATAATTTGTAAATTTGTCATGAGATGTAAAAATATCTGGACTATTTTCAATCATTTTGAAATTGTTCAACAAAAAAATCGATGAATGAATGGAATTATTGGAGAGGGGTGTGATCAACATTAATGTTTTCTTAGAATGGTACTGCTAACCTTGTAGTTTTTCACTTACAATGGATCAACCATTTTTTCCATTCATATCCAATCATTTTTTATCACTTGTTCTTTCTATTCTTTTTTGTTGTTTTTTTTTTCGCTGATTTTCATAGTAGTCTACTGTACTTAATGTCGTGGTCGCTTTATGGGGTTTGCTTTCTAGTCGTAATCCTAACATTTGCATACTCCAGTGGTTGCTTTGAGGGGCCAATCTACCAATTTTGCCTGGTCGATTTAAGCATTTCTGTCTAATTAGCTTCTATTCATAATCCTCATTGTGTTCCTATTCCAGTAGTCGGTTTGAGGTATCACTCTATTGGTCGATTTAACGAGTGCTGTCTAATTACTTTGTATTCATAATCCTCATTGTTTTCCTATTCCAGTGGTCGGTTTGAGGTATCACTCTATTGGTCGATTTAACGAGTACTGTCTCATTACTTTGTATTCATAATCCTCATTGTGTTCCTATTCCAGTGGTCGGTTTGAGGCATCACTCTATTGGTCGATTTAACGAGTGCTGTCTAATTGGCTTTTATTCATAACCCTCAACGTGTTCGCACGCCTGTGGTTTGTTTGAGAGATCGAACTACTGATCCTCGTACTTTCATTTTATCTCGGTCGGTTTAGGGAGTGTCATTTTAACCTAATTGACTTCCTAGTTATAACACTCCACGTGRTYATRCYGGTCGTTCAAAGAGGTCAAACTGCCGACTCTCGTATTGTTGTGCTCCGTCCATTCCTTGCTGCTTCAATGATTTGCTTCATGTCGGAGAACGTCATTGATCCCAATGCATCTTGGGAGCGACTGCTTTCCCAGTCGCTCATATTAATGCTTCGAAAAGAAGAATTCATGAAGCTAAAAACAGAAGCAATGTTAAATTCAATGGTGATAGAAGTGACAAATTTGAGTTGTTCACATTGGAGATGAAATATGCAGACAAGCATCCCTTTTTTGCCAGTTGTTCAAACTAGTCAGATCTAGGGAATCCCTGYGGGAGGGGKAGGGGGAGGGGKAGGGGGAGRGGKAGGGGTAGGGATGTCGTACTGGGAGACGCACACTGTTAGGTTGGAAAAAGAATGAAAACGGAACAAACTGAAATTCCTCTAGCCCCAAACACTCCCACATCCACAAGTGATCGCGAAACTCGAAATCTGTTTGAAGTTAATTAAGCTGTGTTTACCTTTTTTCTGTTAGTTCTTGRAGTTCCTGAAGCTCCATCAGGGTGTGTTTTAGTTCTTGTTCCATCTGAATATGAAAAAATAGTATTATAATTACTTATTCGGTCGCCATCTTGAATTCGTGTCGAAATTATGGGATGCCCAAAGAYAAGAGTACCAATTGGTGTTATATCGAACAGCATTTGCTGTATTCACACGAGAAACGAGAATCTTTTTTTACCTTTGACAGCAGTTGTTGATTATCTGGAAGACCGCTGGAATGTAGAACATCCTCCATATTTGATACATCCTTTTGAAGTCTTAACCGGTCTTGTTCCGTCTATGATGAAATAAAAACCGTTTGTCAGTGATAGTCTCACTGTTATTTTCAAGGATATTGATGTAACTCCAAAATAGAAAAAGATTCACCAATTTTGACAGCACCTGAGGGAGTAATTTTGACTCCTCTTCTAAGAGCAATTTTGAGCCCATTTGTGGCAATTTTTATTCTCATTACCAATTGATTTAAACAAATGGAGTAAAACTACTCGCATTGTTACTTTAATTTACTATATTGGTGGGGAATTCCTTGAAAATAACATTGCTGCTCTGCTCTGCTCTGCTCTGCTCTGCTCTGCTCTGCTCTGCTCTGCTCTGCTCTGCTCTGCTCTGCTCTGCTCTGCTCTGCTCTGCTCTGCTCTGCTCTGTTTTGAAAGAAGAACTTAATAAAAAGAAATTAAACTTTACCATGGTGCATTGCACTGTCTCGTTCTGCTTCATATTTTTAGAGACTGCAGTTAAGATATTCTCTCCTATTAAGACGAGAAGCGACAAACCAATRCCAGCTAGAAGCATGTAGAACACACCAGCGAGATTTGTCGGWCCAAGACGCTGTATTGTCGCAGTCGAAGATAGTGTGTCACAGTAGCCTGAAAATGGATGTATATAATGAGTTAGAGTTACACATTTTATAAATACCTGGATCTGACCACTGTCTCGGGCTGTCGCTTGTCTTTTCTGTTGATTGGCGAGTGGATTGGCCTCTATGTTTTTCTGTACCTCTATTTATGGAGTATGTCTTCCTGTCACTCGGTTGACCAGTTGGCCAGTCTGTGTTTTCTGCCTAGTCATTGTCAATTGTTTTGCTTGCCTGTCTGTCTGACCTTTGGTTGGTTATTTGTTCGTCTGCCTGTCACTTGGTCTAAGTTGGCCTGTCTGTGTTTTCTGTCT